CACACACACACACACACACACACACACACACACACACACACACACCATTTAAACACAAGTCTCATTAAAATAATTGCAACCCTCATTAAACAAAAATTACAGAAGGCTTTTGTTTTCAACTAAGCTCTTGTCTCAGGTCCCAACAGAGCAGGTTAAAAGTCAGTCAAAGAAGTTTTTCTGTAACCAAGCAGAAACCAAGGTATTTTTCTGATTTAAGAAACTGAAACTAGCGATTACAAAATTGTAAAATGTGCCAAACATTTTATGCCAATTTCATAGGCATAAGGAAGTTCTTTCTACCTAACCCTACAAGGAAGGCAAACTGAAGCAACCTAATGTTAATAGTAAAATATTTGTTTATGATTCTGTTTCCTTATCTTTATCTTAAAGGAGCATAATGCCGTGAGATAATCATTCTATTCTTTGTTTCTGATTTCTCCCAACCCTTTAATCTCCATTAAAATGAATCTATACTCCTCAATTTATTGCATTTGTCCTACTTTACAGAGTAAATATTCCCCAATTCTAGAAAATAAGAGCAATTAAGATCTTTAACTAAATTGTAATTTGTCCTTTGACACCTACTTTGGTGGTTTTCCATTCTGTTTCATTTTTACTTCATTTTTATTTTTACATATAGGTGTTTTGCCTGCATGGACGCCCATGCCTATGGAGACCAGAAAAGGACATCGAATTCCCTGGTACTGGAGTTATAGTCGGTCATGAGCTACTGTGTGGGTGATAAGAATCAAACCCAGGTCCTCTGGAAGAGCAGTCAGTAACTACTGAGCTATCTCTCTAGTCCTCTATGTTGCTCTTAAATACTGATCAGGATATATTCAATGGGTTTCATAAAGACCTGCAGATTTTTCTAAACACCAGCATCTCCAGGACATAAGAAGCCCCAGTTAAGCCACTATATGTGTATATGGACACATCTCAGTAAGACAGTGACAGCTGAGTTGAGGAACTTGCCTGACTCCATTTTAAAGTAGGAGCCATTATACTATATTGCTAAAAACAAAAAAGTAAGCTTCTATCTACTGTAAAAGCTGAGTTGCTGCTTTTAAGTCTATTTTCTAGAGTCTGACCTGCCCCAACCCATGACCTTGGCTTGTTTTTCTGAAGAACACCTGGCCCTCCCTAAGCTTCCCTCCACATGGAGATCACATGTGGTTCTGAGATTTTTCTGTATTTTCTTATTGCTCCATTGTCTTTCTTCTGTAAACCTGTTTTGCAACTACTCATGATTTTACTTCTTAAAAGAGGCCCAAGAAAAGAAAAGTCTCTTTAACCAGACTTAGGAGGCAGGCACTAGTAAGCTCTTGTGTGTACCCCAATAAAAACCAAATTTGCTTCAAATTTGGCTCAAAATTGTGGTAGTGGTATAACATTTTCCGGAGGCCTCAGTGATATCAGGTCACCCACCCAAATTCTAAAGCTGGACCTTCACTCCAGAACTCCAGGGATGAAGTGTTAGCTCAGAAGGTACACATCTTGAAAGGTCCAAGGTTCTGGGGTGCACTTTCAGCTTCAGTGACTAATAGAGTGAACTGCTGTGCTGAGAAAAGCAGTAGGCATCCACAGGTGCCTCCCTGTAAGCCACAGTATGGTCTGTTGAGACCCCAATCTGGGCGTGGGGGTGTTCGACAGAACCTCAATATTCTCCTACCCAGGACAAAACACAAGATGTAGCACTGTTCATCTGAGGTTCTTATTCTGATTTTATGTCTCATTTGTATTCTTCGGCTTCATTTTTTACTGTTTCTGATCTGACACTTGTATTTCCTGTGTTAATTGATTTATTTGGACTTGGGGTGACTAAATGGACAGACAGTATAGGTAATAAGCCCAAGAGCCTTCTAAAGAATTCTGACAAACTTTAGCCCTCTATAGTCAAGGAGAATTATGTTATCTTTTCACCAAGAGCTGCCTTTGAACATTCTGTAAAGTTGAATGGCCCACATTCATGGTTGACTGACACTTGATTCTCAGATAGTCTGGGCAGTGGTAAATGTTACTCTTGGTAAGCATGGCTACCTAGATCAGACTGGATACATCTTGCCTTGAACTAAAGCAAACTTCCAACCCCAGACTCCCAACCCTCATGAAGGTCTGTATAGTCCACTAAGGGCAAGGTGGCCAAGCTGACTGTCAGCAAAATGGCCCTCCTTTAGCAAAAACTCTACAGAATTTGCAGAAGGAAGAATACCTCCTCCTTCCATATAACTTTACCATTCCATCCCCCCTCACTTCAACCTCCACCTTCATCACCCCAGTCCTACCATCACAGCCTCACTCTGCCCCTTTATCCACATCTACTCCTACCCCACTATCTAGCTCTTCCCTACCTCCCTGTTTTTTCTCCCCCAACTCTTCCCTACCTCCCCTTGTACTTTTCCCTCTGCATACCAGCCAGGAGTCCATATATCCCTCCTGCCTCCTTTAATCCTGGTTCTGGGCTGACACCTCCTTTGGTCTTTGTTCCCCTATGGCCTGTTTCCTAAAAATCACTACCTCCTTCTCCACTACAGATCTCCACAACTGGAAAAATCAAAAGCCCCTTTCAGTACTAACCTTGATTCCTTAATTTCTCTAATTGATTCTATATTTTCAATGATCTCCCATATGGGATGACAGTCAGCAGATTCTCCATACCCTTTTCACTCCTGAAGAAATGGAATAGATTCTCACAAAAGCAGCTGAAGTACTCCCTGGAATAGCTTCAATGACTAATGACCAAAGGGTAAAGGCAATTGACCATGCTCTGCCAAGACAGAAACCCATATTTCTGGATAGCAGATGTGAAACAGGACCCTGATGAATCATTTTCAGCTTTCCTGGATGTTCTGAACACCTGTCAGTTATCCAGTCCTATAGACCCAGAGAACCTGGCAAACAAGGCAATTATCCTGGCCTTTGTTGCTCAGTCAGTACCTGACATGCATAGAAAGATGCAGAAAATGGATGGGTTTGCAGGAAAGAACAGGTCAAAACTATTAGAGATAGCTCTAAAGATGTTTGATAGCAAAGACAGCCCACTGTGGCTGCATGACAAGCCCCAGCCATTTTAAACTCTACCCATGCATGCCACGATAAAAAGAGGAGATCTTTACAAAAGAACCAATGTGCCTACTGCAAAGAAATGGGTCACTGGAAAAATGAATGCCCATGCTAGAAACAGGCAGTTTTCCCCAAACCCAAGCCAATCATAGTTATAGAGGATTAGTGAGGCTAAGACTTCTTTGAATTAGGCCCCTGGGAGTCTATGGTAACTTTCACCATTAGGGGTAACCTGTAAATTTTCTGATGGACATGGGGGGTATGCATTCAGTATTATGGGAGTTTCTAGGTCCCCTTACCTACCAAACAACAGAAGTAAAAGGGGCAACAGAGGATACCAAAGAATATAAATGAATCACCAACTGGACTGTTAACCTAGGAGAAGGAACTGTGACTCGTTCTTTTATTGTTATTTCTGAGTGTCCCTACCGTTTACTGGGGCAGGACCTCTTGAACAAGTTTCAGACAACAATGTCATTCTTAGGAGACTCTCCTAGGTTGCAACTGAGAAACCCGAAGGCTTTTAACTATAGCCTGCCCCATAACTGAGGAATATCTGTGCCTACAAAATCCAACCCATTCCCTGGAAGAGAATGGAAAAAGTTGCTGATCCAGGAAATTCCTCCTGTTTGGGTAGAGGACAATCCTCGTGGCCTGGTAAAATATGTGCCACCAATCTTAGCACGACTAAAGTCTGGGTCAATGCTCATCTGAGTCAAGCAGTACCCCATTAGTTCAGAAGCCAGGGAAAGGACTAAGAGTCACATCAGAAACCTTCTTGAAGCAGGTATACTTATTCCTTGCCAGGCAGTCTGGAATACCCCCTTGATTGCCTGCACAAAAGCCTGGAATTCAGACTATGATGAGTACAAGACTTGAGCGAAGTGAACAAGAGGGTAAAATCCATTCACCCAATGTTAAAAATCCCTACATTTTGCTCAGTATATTACCACCAGAGCATAAAGTTTACACTGTGCTGAATGTAACAGATGCATTCTTTTCTATGCCCCTGTTAGAATGAAGTGAGCCAATCTTTTCATTTAAAAGGGCCAACCCTGAACTGGGGCTAAAGGAACAATCTGGACCAGACAGGATCGAATTCAAAAATTCTTCCACTATCCTCAATGAAGCACTGAAACAAGATTTACATCTCTCCCACAGTTAAGTACCCTGAGGCAACCTTGCTTCAAAATGTGGATGATTTGTTATTGGCCACTAAAGACAGAAGGACTGTTAGGGAGCCACCAGAGACCCTCAGGAGACTCTAGCCCATTTAGGCTATGGAGTTTCTAAAAAGAAAGTTCAAACTGGCTCACTTCAGATTACCTGCTTGGGATATGAACTGAGAGTAGGTAAAGGCTGCTGTCTAATGCAAATCCCAACTCCAATCACCAAGAAACAAGTTAGGAAATTTCTGGGAACTTAATTTTAATCACTGTCCAGTAAGGTACAACGTTCTATCACAGCGCTTTCTGCCATGCTTAGCCTTGTTGACTCTGCTGTTTCTCCTATTCACTTGGACTGTATTTCTTGGATATGCAATTAGAAGGAAAATGTCACAGCACCACCCATCTGGCCCATGTCTCCTTCCACGAGTAAATTGATACACATCTATGGAGAAGATCTTTGTTGAAGACTCTTAAACATGAAGAAAAACTGCACATGGGGGGGGGCAGGGGGAATTCTTAACTGAGAGCAAGGAGTTCATGGCTGGAAAGATCCCTTCTAGTAACATGGGAAGGAACTGCTAACAGTCCTCCTTTCCAGAACTAAACACATGACCACATGACGCCAGAAGACATCCTCTGTCAGAGTACACCAGAATCGTAGAAATGTGAATTCTCTTTTTTCTCACATAGTACTAAACAAATAAAACTTAATCCGCCTGATCACTCTTAAAGCTGCAATCACCTGGGCAGAAAAATAGGCTCACCCACAGACTCAGAAGAAACTGGTGACAATGGCCCTTTGTCTCCCAGGATAGGGGGCGGAAGGGGGGTGGAGAAGAACTTACTGAACTCTAACTTGAATATCTACATTTTTATTCTTTAAAACCATAGAGACCTCCCAGCGACATGTTTATACACACAAAGGAGAATTCGGGAGGGAGGGCAAAAATCATCTCTGGATCATCTTTGCATGACAGCTTCTTTTATATTTTGCTCAGCTATTTTAACTAAGTGTGCATTGATTTCTAATTCTACCTAAAGTAATTTATTCTATACTGTCACATTCAAATTAGAACCCAGATTAGGTCTTGAACCTAGGCTACCTCCTACTTCAGGGACTCATCTTCCTATATAGATTTGCCCAGATCCCTCTTGAACTCTGGATGTGAAAAAAGATGGTTGGTGTTTAAGCAGTAGAATGACTTACCTGACACACAGAAAAGAGGCTCGACCGTAAGAGGGTTTGGAGGGGAAATAAGGAGTATGAAATAGTCAACAGTATATTAACTAACAACATTTGTACCCACAATTTGTAACCATGTGGCTGTGTTAATTCTTGGAGCAATAAAATTATACTTTGGGATGCATTAAGTTCTTTCACAGAGACCTTCTAAGGTCGAAATAACACGAGGTGTGGCTCAGCCCAGGACAGGACGATGTCCCAAACTCAAATGTGTTCAGAGGAATTCAACTGATTCATACTGGATCTAATTTATATTGTAAAGCAAGGACTCTACAGTTCTTCACGAAATAGTTTCTGAACTTGATCAACATCCTTGATGGGCAATTACACCAGAAGACTCTTAAGAAATATTCTACAAAATTTAGGGGTTCAAATGGTTTTGAAACCCCTGCAATCACAGATACTCACCCAAACACCCAGCACTGTGTCCCTACGCGCTTGCACTGCGTGTCAGTGAGGTAGGCATAGTACTGTCTGAAAGAGCAGAGTTGGAATACATGAGAACCTCTACAGGCCAAGGTTCAACACAATAGCAGCACTTTCCAGAGGGGATAAAAAAAACCTGCCCTGCCTTGCTTGCCATGTTACAGCTGCTTGGTCTAGTTCTACTCAAGTTAACAGCCAGTCAGGGCTATTCAAACATTCCTGTAAGAGATACTAAATACAGGATCACAGTGTTGGCAAAGACAGCATTGTTCCAGCACCATTCCCACAGCCCTAAGCAAGTCAGTCTGGGCCTGATCCAGCCTCTCTGTGGAGTGGAGACCACTTCAGAAGGTCAGCTCTGGGCTTCTTCAACTGTCTCTTATGGTATCTTCAGGGTTATGGGTGTTGATTGTACAGGTAAAAATGTAGACATCTTTCCTTTGCTGAAACTGGAGGGGCCCTGGCTGCACTTCACTTTATCTGCATTACAGGGCTCTGAATGTTGCTGACAAGATTAGCAAAGAGTATTCAAGTGCTCAGAGCAGCACCCGCTGACAGAACTTTTCAGATGTTTCAGGCTGTCACATGAGGATAAAGACATATAAAAGTCACTTTAATAAAGTGACCAATATAAAAACTATGCCAAAATACCAGAATGAGGTATTTTGTACTGCACTTGAATTAATTCATGTAAGATGTGTGTTTACATGTGCCACACATGGCTGTGTTTGGTGAGTGAATGTCAAATAAGACAGTGTGGTTTGGAGCCTCACAAGTACTCCTGAGCTCTGTCCATGCCTGTAGAAGGCAAGTGAACCAGGAACTCACCATTTTTAGGGGGTTCCCTTGAGGATTTGAGAGACTCTGTGGCAAAGAAATAATATATGCACACAAAATTTTACATTTAACTCTGTGGGACTCAAACACTTAATACTCATTAATGAACTATGACCTCATTACCTCAAAGTCCCTAGCAAAAAAATCTGAACATATGTTTTCTCATTTCATCCACATTTTTATTACCTTATTTGCCTTTACTAGATTGACATGGTACCCTTTAGAGAACAGTTATTTTAATTTTGTTTGTTGATTTTGGGGGTAATAAAGATGATAAGAAGCAATGGCTGGGATAGTCTCTTTGAGCAAAGTGACTCTGTCTCCTCTCCTTGTTAAAGGAGCCTCTCCACTTGTATGGTTCAAATGCAGACTAAAAGTGATGATGGTGCTAGCAAGATGGCTCAGCATGTAAAGATACCTTCTGCCAAGCCAGACAATCTAGAGTTCCGTTCCTGCAATCCACATGGTGAAGAAAGAAGACTCCTGTAATTTGTCCTCTGGCCACAGGAGTGCCACGGCACTCCACCTCTACCCCAACACAAATTCTAAAATGTGAAAAAGGGGTGGTGGCCTGGATAAGTTAAATAATTATATTGTTTTTAAAAGTCAGTAACTCCTTTAACTGCTTAGTTTCCACACATATGTTTCTTTTTCAGAGCAATACAGAGTAAATGCTATTTCTAAATAGGAAACTAAGACAAAAGAAAAGGATTAGCTTTAACTGTCCCTTGTGGGTGTCCAAGAAGGACAGTGAATGATGTGCCTCTTCCAGTCCTATGAATGCAGAATAATATTGGCATAGACACTTACACTCACCATGGCTGTCCTGGAGAATTTTCAGGGCATTTAAGAAGGGAATCAATTTAACTGAATCTCAACAAAATCTCATTCTAAAAATAAAGTTGCTTGTGACTTCAACTCTATACAAACTTTTCTTCTTACCAATAATCTCATTTTAGGAAATCCAGTGTCACCTTTACTACTTTTAAACAGGATGTAAGAAGACCAGCAGGGACGGACTATACAGGTATCGAAAACAAGGGCAGTTCTGGCGGGTGCCACTAAGTAATCACTTTCTTTTAAAAACTCTCATTGTTAGTACTGAGGTCTCAAATCAAAACATTTTCTTAATATTCTGGGCAAATATTTAGAATAACATTTTCACAGAAAATCTGTCAGTTGATGTGACAGCCCTTATACTGGGGAAGAAAACACAAAGCAAATATATGTCCTCAGCAAATGGCAGAAGAACTGGACAGAATTACCTCACTGTAGGAGCTGTAATGCAGCCGATGAAGAGAATTCTACACCAGCTTAAAGGATGGCTGGCTTGGAACACAAAGATGTGCTTCAAGAAGAAGGTATTCAACTCAGTCAGCTGAAGAGAAGAGAGATCAGTCACCCTGTGCTGGGCTACATCATGAGCATACACTCCTTAAACAGGCCTTCTAGAGCTAAGTATAACAATATGCCCAAAGCACTTTAAGAAAATCCAGAGATTGATACTTAAAGTAGTAACAGGCAGTACATAACCACTGGCCAATTAGGAGTAGGTCGCTCTGTGTGTGTGTGTGTGTGTGTGTGTGTGTGTGTGTGTGTGTGTACATGTATGACTGAAGTGGTGGGAAAGGAGTGTATGATCTCTGGTTATCAGCTATTTGAAACGTTTCTTGTGCACTTCTGTCACATGGCTCCTCTGCGTGATCTGTTGGGACAGTCAGGACAGACTTTGAGCCCAGTACAAATCGTGCAAATCAGTACTTCTATAGTTGTAGAATCAGGCCACTCTAAAAACAGCCCAACTCTAGATAAATCAGTATTGTCCTAAAGATGCTTGAGGTTCATCTGAGAGCTAACTACATAAGGCATGTAGTTTGTATGTTCAGGGTTGATGTAACTTTTGTTGGTGGTGGTTCTCACACAGGGTCTTTCTACAACAGTGCTGGCTGACCTGGAACTATGTAGCCCACGTTGGTATTGAACTTGCGTTAATCCTATTGCCTCACTCTCCTTAATGCTAGGATTATAAGGGTGTGCCACCACTCCCAGCTTGTAAGAATTTTTTAAAATTATTTTTATTTGCAATTGGTTGACTCTTCAGATATGGATCTTGCAGATATCAAGGCAAACTTCTCCACAGTAATGATTTACTCATTTGCAGTTCTGTAAAATAAACTCTATCAAGAAAGGAATTGTGTGAACAAAATTTTTCAGTCTTAAAAGTAAAATTCCCACTTATTTACATACTTGTGTGTGTAGTTGCACATGTGCAACACAGTGCATGTATGAAAGTCCTGAAATTTTACGTTTGATGATTCTGAAAGACCTTTAAAGCAAAATGTAGTTTTCCATGGTGAGTCACCAGAAGCTGTGAAAACCTCTAGGGACAGAAAGATAGAAAAAAAGTCTGTCTCCAAAACGAGAGGCATGAGACTCTTTCCCCAGTGGCTACTGAGATTTCTTCCACCTGGAATGCTTCTCTCCTCCAATTCATTGAAAGATTCACACTATCCGAGCATCCCATACCTACAGCTGAGAAGCTCTCCGAATATTATACAAACTGGGAAAGGCTGAAATACACTTTGGACACCAAAGAGTAAATTAGGAATAAAAGATTCAATGGTAGGGTGCTTGCCTGGGACATGCAAGACCCCAGAAAAACCAGCTGTGCTTCCTTCTAATAAGGAAAAGACAAAACTTGACACCAACCCAATTACTGTCTCAATTTTTTAAACAACTGCCCCCAGTATCTATCGAGAACGAGTTCCAGACATTCCCTGGATACTATGGATTCTATCCCCAGCACTGCAAAAACTAAAATTAACAATTAAATAAAATTTTTTTAAAAACTCTTCTTATAGTATCTTTGATTTTGAAAATATTCTTCAAAACAGTATTATACAAATTCATTGGGTGATGGATGGGTGCTAAATATGATCCTTCCCAGGAAATCAGTTCCTAATTTGTAGTTCAGAGACTCCTATTTTTAAATGTCTCCACACTGAAGCAATTCCTCAGACAGTAACCTCGATTTTAATTACTCTATATGCCAGCTACAAAATCTCTTCAAAGTATCCAGCTAACACAAAATATAATCTGCCATTAGTTATAGCCTCCAGGAAGATTCATGTTTTGTTTTACCCCCACTTAGAAAGGACATCTATAAGATTACCTGCCAGATGATCATGAATAGGTATATCCCAGCCACTCTCTGAAAGGAAGACTTAGGGTCAAACCACCTGACGTAAGTCCAGCTAGCAGGGGTGAATTGCAGCACAGCACGTTTGATCTTCCCTGTGGTGGTGTGGATGTCCCTGGAAGAAGAGGATGAAAACCATGAAATACAGGGATAATAAAGAGAGGAAAAGGTAAAGCTGCACTGATGACATTCTAGTGGCTTCTCAGAACAGAAAGGAAACTTTCTATTTGGAAGGGTCTCAAGCATAGGTCACAGGAGCACACTGAATGAGGGGCTTCGGGGTTCATGGTAAGGGTACAGTGATGTCAACAAGATCAGAGATCTGGGTGCTGCTGAGCTAACTGAGGGTTAAGTTTGTGAACTGTCAAAAGAAGTTAACAGGAATCAAAGATACAACCTGGAAACAACCAGGAAGAATGTAGATAGAGTAAAGATACTAATCCTTCCCATTCTGTATTCCAAGGGCCAAGGGGGTGTTATGGTAAGGGGGCTCATGCTTCATGTTCTTGAGCTCACCCCTTGTCCTTCCCCAGAGTTTGTGGTGAAAATGATTTTTTTCTTTTTTTAACTTTCCATCAGTTTAATCCTGGGAATCTCTCATTCAAATGTCTCACGTTACACAATGCACCTCACATGCGGGAAGACTTAGGTTTAAAGATTAGGTGGATGGTATAGACCAGCTTTGTCCAAATAGGAATAGGGTACGCTAACCTTTTGGTTAAGTCAAAACCCAGGCCATTTAAATACTTAGTGAGGAGTCTAATTCAACAGAGGTCTATACTGAGGACTCTTGTGTTTAGAATGTATGCTCAGTGTCAATGACATAAACAACAATGTTCTAGACCTTTCCTTCCAGAGGGAGAGAGATAGAAAACAGGGAGAAAGCAGGTCAGGTCCTTCATCCACCTGCCTTATGTACCTTCCCAGCATAAGGATGTGCTGGGAAGACATCCCAGCACAGATGGAGGTACAATAGCAACAATAACAGAGACTGTCCAAATTAAGAAGGATGGCAAAGGGTCCTTTTCCTTATTTTCAAAATGCCAAACATAACAAAACAAATTGAAATACATTACAATCCAGAAGCAGATTATCTAATGTAGTCAAGAGGTTAATTTAATTTAAAATAGTCTATATTCATTTATATATTTAATATGGCTTTGAAAATACTGAGCCTTTGTTTAGTGTGGGCTTATATTCTGGCATCTTGACAAAATGATTCTAAAGTCGAACTTGGAATGATAAATGCATAAATATGGATGTGTACCGTGACTGTATTTTGAGTCAGCCTAGTATAAATTCACACTCAACTGTTTAGTGATCATGTGTCTTTAGGAAAATTACTGATCCTGGGTTTCACTATTACCATCCCAAGAAAGGAGCACTGTCTTTCTTCAGGAATGATGCAAGGCTTTCAAGTGGCACTTTGCTCCACTTGCTTGGAGCAGTGTCTGGCCCAGATACTGTTTACACAGTAGATCAGCTTTAAATAATTACAAAGGCAAGTCAAGTCAAAGAAGGGATTGTTAGTAAGCTAAAGAGCATAAACTAGATAATCAAAAGGTAACAGGTATAAAACTTCTCCTTTGTACCACATACCAATATAAATTTAACTTCGGCTAAACATTATTGTGTAGGTTTATAATTCCAGCATGCAGGAGGCTAAATCAGGAGGATGGAGTTCAAGGTCAGCCCAAGCTATGTTAATAGATTCCATCTAAAACACCAAAAAGAAACAAAACAAAACAAAAAACTCAGACAGACAAACAAACAAATAAGCAAAAACTTTTGAGATAAAGCAAATATATTATTTCTAATGAAAAACAAACAATCAAAGAACTGAAAGAAGTGGTACCTGGTGGACAGACCTGAAATTCTAGCTACTAAAAGCCTGAGGCAGTAGGATTAAAATTCAAGATCTGCTTGGGCTACAGAGTGAGTTGAAGGCCACCACAGCAATTTAATGTGACTGGAGATGAAGAGAGGGCTGAGTATGACTTGGTGGCAGAGAACTTGCTTAGCACATGCAGGCACTGGGCTCAATCCAAATACTGTGGGGGTGGAGTATATCAAAATGGAAAGCTAAAGTACCATTTACGGCAACATGAAAGAATTCTTGAACTAAAAAAAGGCAGTGAAAGACAAACTCCAGAAGAATTAGGCAGAAATCCTTTCAATTTAATATGGGATGAATCTGAAAGGTTTAAAAACAGATTCGAGGGAACAGTGAATGAATACATGTACATACTCAGGATGGGTGAGACTGCAAATCAGTGTACTCTAGCTGTAAGAAGAGTACCAATTAAAAAGAGAGAAAGGACTGGAAATGCATATAGAGACACATAGATACGTCATGATTTTCACTGTAGCCTTTGAAACAGTAAAACTTTAGAAACAACTAAATGATCATGGGCTATTTTATGGCTTGTTTATATACTGAGATATATTTGGAAAAGCCTTTAAATATCATCGTTTGAAAGAATATTGGCTGATTTGGGGAAATGTTCATATTTTGTGATATAAACTTCCTAATGCAGTGAGAACATCTATTACCATACCTCAGCTCTTCTTCTCATCCATGGCTCCCACCACAAGTTGAGGAGCAATGAATGCAGTAATGGCAGTGACACAAACTGCCCTTCTACAAGCACAGAGCGGGGATTACACTCAAACTAGAGTCAGGGCAAACTTTCTTGAGATGACAATCAGGGTCAGCAAAGGAAAGTAGGCTAGCCTAGTCTCCAGAATGCAGACCAAGTCCCTAGTAAAGGAGCATGTGGATGGCTATGGGACTGTGGGTGCTTGAGGTGACATGGAAAAGGGTCTTCCCTCCCAGGTCATGGATAGACACTTTGTACTTAAGACTAGAGAAGCCACAACAGGGGTGTGTGGTGATTTGAATGAAAATGGACCCCACAGACTCATAGGTAATGACACTTTTAGGAGTTGTGGTCCTGTTGGAGTAGGTATGACCTTGTTGGAGGAAGCGTATCGGTGGGGGGTGGCACTTTGAGGTTTCAGAAGCTCCACGCAGGCCCAGTATCACTTTTTCTTTCTGCTGCCAGCCAATCCAGATGTAGAACTTCTGGGCTCCTTCTCTAGCACTATGTGTGCCTGCTCGCCTCCATATTTTCCACCATGAGGATAATGGACTAAATGGACTAAACCTCTGAATTCTAAGCCAGCCCCAATTAAGTCTTCATTCTAACAGTTGTGGTGGTCAGGTGTCTCTTTGCAGCAATAAATCCCTAAGACAGGGTGTGTGAAAGGGTGAACCCAATGTTTTTTAAGAACTTCCTCACACAACAGTCTGATGAAAGTTGGAAAGGAGATCCCCAGGGGCAGACGACTAGATTCAGGCTGAGGAAATGAATTAAAGGAATGGCTATGAGAATTATTTTGAACCAAACGAGTGCTCAAAGATGAAATGGAAAATGATTTCGCATTTCTTATACCTGTTTCTCATGTTTTCAGACAGGGTCTCACTATGTACCGCAAGCTGGCATGAAAGTCACTTCATAACCCACAGCTTTGAACTTGCATAATCCTCCTGTCTCAGCTTCCCGAGTGCTAGATGACATATGTGAATCACTATACCCAGCAGCATTTTCTAGATGAATATTTGAAAGTAGATTTATAAGTATATGTGCTTCAATTGCCAATGTAGCATTCACCTGTTATTGTGAGATTATACTAAAACCCATTTGCAGTAAAGCCCAAACCATACACAACACTGTGACCAAGGTTCCAAAGAAGAGGACTCACTTGAAGCTTGCCCAGTGGTAAGTCCTCATCTCCAAAAATCGGCAAACAACCATGCCCAGCCAGATGCCACCACCATTACACAACAGGATGTCCAGAATGACCTGGTCCCACCAGCACTCAGCAAAGTTGGGCAGCAGATGCATGAAGAAAAGCTGAGGAATACAAGAGACAACATTTGAGTAAATATTGTTAATGAGGCAGGGACCATGAATATAGATTCTTTATAACACATTGTTTTATAAAATGTTTTCCTTTTCCCGAATGTATATAAAAACAACAATAACAAAGTCTGAAACATGCTTCTGTTTTTTAAATATTGAAGTGTTTTTTACAAATAACATTTACCCAAATAACTCTCCTTTAAAAACAAACAAAAGAAAACAAAAACGTGGATTTCAAACATTGGCAGCCCCAATGAGCCACATTGGTTGATGGCACACAGAAGTATCTTCAAGAGGAATAAACAGAGAGGTTTCAAAGCTGACAACAAACCTCTGCAAATCCTCAAAATGGGAAGCCTAAGAATGCAAGCTGTGTGTTTGGGGACAGTTCCAGTATGGTGGCCAATTTGTGAGTAGCTGTAAAAGCAGTGAGGTTGGCTGTTAATGGCATAGTGAAGGAAACTGAGAGGTTCAATGGGACATAGAAGTATTAGTGCCCAGCTGTGCCATTTTCCAGTAGGCATCACTGCATGCATGGTGGCCAGATAACAGGGTGTCTAAAATGAGTATCCAAGGAGGTTGAATCTCAAAATAAATCAGACTTGGGCAAGTGCTACTGTGGTGACATCAATGGACTTTGGGGATAAGATCGACTCAGTCTGAATGAGGGCAACTGGGGTTGGTTCCTGGAAGAAAAGATGCCGAGAAAAAAAAATCTAACATATGAGAGGTATTTAGAGGTGCTTTCTGTGTCTAAACATGGATTACTGGTAACGAAGGGGTGAGAAAGACATTCCTTCAAGTACAGCCAGGGAAATAGCAGGCTAGTAGGTAAGGATATAAAAAGGGAGAAGGAATGGGCCTAGGTTCTGAAGGAGGTCTTCAAAAATACAAAGAACAAAGACAGCTGCACCATAAGCTTGTGGAGATGGGTTCACTGAGGACAGGTTGGGAGTCAGTAGTCATTAGTCAGTACCTCTTGGGACTCATAAGCTGATTCTAAACACTAAATCGTTTGTAGGAAGAAGAAGTCTTGATATGATAAAGGACTGGAAAGGAACACTTTCACAACAGTGTGAAGAGAAAGGTTGCAGCAAAAGATGAATCAGACATTGAGTGGTAGAAGAAGAGACTTCAGTGTCTGTACAGGTATTCAGAAAAATTCCAGGACTTTGGGACCAAAGGATGCTGGGGAGCAGCAAAGAAGGGCAGAAGATGCCCCTGCCAGGTGAGGGAAAGCAAAGGAGGCTAAGAAAGGCCAGTTGCCTTATATAGTCACAGAACAACTGGGTAAGGAATACGGTTACCCAGGTAGAATGTGATATAATGGAAGGGCAGCAGGCTTTATGTCTTCAATGCAGATGTGGCTTTCTACAATGTCAGGCTGAACTCAGTTTCCTCCCTCTACAATTGGAATAGATACACACTGCCTCTCCCTGCTTATCAGAAGGATTCTGAGCAGTGCTATGGATGAGTAGAAGTCCATCCTCTCAGAATTCTTATACCCTGGCCTCCAGATCCTCAGAAAGCAAACTTACTTGGAACTGGAGTCATTACAGAGGTAGCAACTTAAGCGGAGATCACACGGGAGTCAAGTAAGACCTGATCCATTTATGACATATGTCTTTATAAAAAGAAGCCCACAAAGGCTCAGACACACAGGGAGAAGGCTACCTGATGATGAGGTCAGAGATCAGGGTGATGCATCCCTAAGTCAGGGAATGCTAACAACTGTATCAAGTGATACAGGCTCTTAAGAGGGAAGCCTGGGAAGGATGGCCACAGCAGTGCTCAGAAGGAAGCAACCATGACCATAGTTTGATTACAGACTCTGACCTCCCAAACTGGGAGTACACTAATGGATGTCCACCTAACTGGAATGCTCTGTAAGTCAGCAATGGCTGGCATTGAGAAATATGCTATGCACATAGCCAAATACTGTGTGCTGGAAATGATTAATAAATACTAAACTAATTGGAATAGTTCTCCAACTTTTGTTTTGTTAATAGTTTCTCAGGGTGTACCTCTCATTAATTAATGAACATTAACTTTGGATCACATATCATGGGGGCTCTATTAGGAAATCATGCTCAGAGACAAAATACCTGCTCTTATAGTACAGAACACTCAATTCTACAGATCTCAAAAAAAAAAAAAGCTGGTGTGTGGACAAAGTGACTCACTTCTACACAGATTTCCTCTTTATATTGATTTGTCTCACTTTGGACACCAACTTCATTTGTTAACTTGGTTTCATTTGTCTTTATTTAAGACTTACTACAAAGGAGCACAAATCCTTAAAGACATAGAGAGTTTTGTTTAGTATTTGTTTCTTAAACAAAAATATACAGAATTGTCATGGGATTGTATAAGTCAAGTTTTGCACACCAGGGACTAGAGGATGAAATATCTGAGTACCACCTGACAACTTATAACTTCCTCTACACACATTGTGACTGCATGACCCTGGGGATACCTTGTCCATGGTTTACCTCTGTCAGCTCCCAGGTGATGCTGATTGTCCAGCAGAGCCCATAACTACGGATCAACAAGGCCTTCATGGCCCAGCCCCAGAAATGCCCAAATGCAAATATATCAAAGTGACTGACGATCCTCTCCCAGGTGATCACGTGGCAGTTCACAGCATACTCCTGATTAACATAAAGAGTTCAAACATGATAACTGTTTGCATAACAAATATAAGATTTAAAATTACTTAGAAATATACAATATATTCAAAGCTAAAATTAGAAATGGAACCAACATTCTTAAATATTTGAGAACTTTCAGCTTTGAATTTATGTAATATTGAATACATTTTTGGGTGGGGACTCTTCCCTTTGAGCTCTTGTCCAGTAAAGAGTTTAGGCTTTCCCTCTTCCTCAGAAGTCCCTCACCTGTATCTTCTAGTATTTTCATCGTCATTGAATATTTACAAATATTCAGCCATAATTTCTTCAGCCCATGATTTTTAGAAAGTGTTTTTAAATTATCAAGTCTACTGAATTCCTTATATTTCATTACTAACTTTTATTCAGCTTCTCAGTGGCCAGGTACATGTGATGTCACTTTTAAAAGATACATTAAACCTTTGCCAAATTATTTTATTTCTCATTTTAGCAGTGTTGCATTGCCATTTAGAAACTACCAATTAGAAAGCCGCCTTACACCAACTCACTTATAAATGACATGCTACTGTAAGCCTCTTGCTATAAAAACCTTCCAAACTGAACAGGAAATGCAGTGCTAAAGTCCTATCAATCTCTTCATTCACTGCAGGAATCCTAGAGGCAAGTTCCCAGACCGTGAAACAATGTGATCTCATTATAGGGTATTCCTGGTTGACAGAGAAACAACCTGGGTCTAAAACCACTTGTCTATTAATTTAAGGAGAGTGACAAGGTGCCATCAGCCTAGAATTCTTCAATTTCTCACCCTATGATTACTCTGGAATAAGTTGCTTAGGGCTCAATAAGGACCTAGGTTGGGCGTGTTTGTTTTCAGTGACCACTCTTAGCATGATCACAAGCTGGAAATGCTTCTGGGGGATTTGAATGTACATTTATTTGCTTTCATTACAGGAAGATATTTAAAAAACTATAAAAGGCCAAGTTGCATATCCTAACATTAAAATTTTAAAGAGTAGATTAACCAAATAATCACCTCCAGAGGCCCCCAAGGTCCTTGCTGCAGGGTAGGCATAGCAGTTTGGCTGCCTCCTCTCTCCCAAGGGATAGGTCCCAGAATACATGGAGGATACCAAAATCCAGATGTTCATATCACTGATATAAAACAACAGTTTTGCATACAATCTATGCACATCCTCCTTTATACTTTAAGTCATTTCTAAGTTACATATCCTACCTAACAAAGTACAAATGTTCTGAATGGTTTGGAGAATAATGACAAAAAATAGTTTGTACATGTTTAGTAAAGTGGTAATTTTCCCTTCTGAATATTTTTGATCTAAAGTCAGTTGAAACAATGGATGATATCAGAGATGGCACTAACTATGATACAGCTTCAAAATAAGAATGAAGCAAGAGGGTGGCATCCCATCTGTCTTTGCTAGGGTTTCTACAGTTGTAAAGAGACAACATGACCATGGCAACTCTTACAAAGAACACATTTAATTGGGATGGCCTGCTTATAGTTTCAAAAGTTCAGTTCATTATCATCATGGCGGCAAACATGGCAGCATGTAGGCAGATGTGGTGCTGTAGAAATAGCTAATAGTCCTACATCTTGTAGGCTTCAGGAAGCCAACTGAGACACTGGGTGGTATTCTGGGCGTAGGAAAACTCAAGGCCTGCCTCCAGAGTCACACACTTCCTCCAACAAGGCTGTAGTCACTTCAACAAAGCCATACCTCCAAAGAGTGTCATTCCCTCTAAAATCACAGGGACCAATTATATTCAAACAACCACACCATTCCAGACTTGTGCTGGTTAGGTTTTCGTCAGCTTGACACAAACTAGTCACCTGAGACGAGGAAACCTCAACTGAAAAGTTATCTTTATTAGATTGGTCTATGGAATATTTTCTATACTAGGAGGCCTAGTCCACTGTGAGAATCCTGGGCAGGTCCTGGGCAATATAAGAAGCAGCTGAGCAAGTCAAAGGGAGCTAGCCAGTCAGTAACCAGCATTCCTTCATGGCTCCTACCTTTGCTGCTTCTTGAGTTCCTGCACTGACTTCCTTCAATGATCAACTGTGATTGGGATATGTAAGCCAAACGAACCCCTTCCTTTCCAAGCTACTTTTGGTCATGGCATTTTATCACAGAATAGAAATCAAACTGGGACAAGCTCAAGCTCTATCCCTACTTCTAGTGTTCAAGAAATCTGGGCAGAGGTGGGCAGCAGGAAGACAGATGGCAATGTCTTGAAGGCAAGCTACAAAAATGTCTATGTGTGAAACTCTATGAGATAAATAAACTTCAAGGAAAAAGAGAACATGCATGGAGAAACTACTAATCAAGAGTCGCAGAATACCCTAAGATACAACCTAAGGACCTCATGCAACATAGGAACCTCATTATGACTGAGGTATAAAAAACATGTATCAGGCATGTACACTTATATGCTTTTAAAATTCATAAAATATGCTGAAATTTCTAAAAACTATGCTAAAAATTGTTTTATGGTGCAATAGCCAACAACTTTTTCTTTAACTTTAGTTACCTGTAACTTTAACTCCCAGAAGATGGGAGGGAGCCTGCTCACCTGTTTCCCCATTATCACCGGCAAGTCCAGGAAAAGCTCAGTCAGTATCAATCAAACAAAAGTCAACTACTTCAGACAGACTAATTTAAAAATGATTGCAAAATAATTTTAAAAAGGGCTGTGCTCTTCAAATTTGCCTGACACTTAGGGCACATTTTTAATATTTTTTTTTTAATCTTACTTTGGCCCATGTTAGGTGTCATTCTGTAAATGGAGACTATGCTTTCACTTCCCAGCCACTCAGACCGGAATAATTACACAAAAACTATTATTAATTACAACATTGTTTGGCCAATGGCTTAGTGTGTTCCTAGCTAGCTCTTACATAATCTTAAATTAGCCCATTTCTATTAACATATGTATTGCAAAGAGGCTGTTTGTTGGCTTACCAGTAATGTTTTGGCATCATTCTCCTTTGGAGTATACATGGTGTCTGCCTGACCCTGCCTTCTTTCTCCCTGCATTCAGTTTAGTTTCCCCCCCAGCTATATTCTGCCCTGCTATAGGCCAAAGCAGCATTTTTATTAACCAATGGTAATAAAACGTATTCATAGCAAACAGAGGGGAATCCCCTATCAGTTTTAGGGACTGAACTCAGAGTCTCATGCAATATTATCAATTTACTACTGAACTACAATCCCAGCCCACAATCAATCACATTAAAAAGCAGCAAACTATCCACTATTAGATTTTTAAAAAGAAATCGACTCTAGGCGGGACCTATTGGTGCAAGTCTATGGTACCTCATGGTATTTGGGAGGCAGAAGCAAGATAATCAATTCAAAGCTATTCATAGTTATATAGTGAGTTGGAGACTAACATAGGATATGCAATAACCTATCTTAAAAAAGAAAACATGAATAAGTAAACAAACAAAAAAGAAATTGCCTCTATTACAATTAATAACTCCATCCCTGCCCCCAATTTATAAAAGAAATCCTAAATGAAAATGTGAGTCTGAATTTCAACAGACCAAAGTACGTCAAGATCAGGAAAAGATGGGAGGAGAAGGCATAGCAAGAACAGTGACCCCAGGACCAGGGTGACTCACAGACCTGATTTACATACAAGAACAGCTTTTCCCCCCAGTACCAGGGCTTGAGGGATGCTGAGTGAGCACTCTCTTGCTGAGTCACATCTCAGTCTTCTTTTTACTTTTAGAGAAAGGGTCTTACTAAGCTGTCCAAGTTACCTTGAACTTATCATTCTCTTGTTTCAACCTCCTGAATGGTGGTTTATATCCTGTCACAGCCCTTAAAGGAACTTCTTTCTATAAAATCTCACAAAACAAAAAGAACATTTCTCTACAATGAAAGAGTCCTTACAAAAGAGGAAGGTGTTTCTTTATACCCATCATGATATCCTCAGTATCACGAAAGGCTGACTGAAGGAAGTAAACATGATGAGGGATGTAAAAGAGGAAGCCACTTCCACATCACCTAGACCTCTGGAATCTGCAAACAGCCGCATACCTTGTCTGGTTTAGCAATAATTATCAGTACTAGAAATAAGATTGTAAAAGCTTGTTGCAGCTATTGTGATGTCAGGTTTCTAAAGAAGTTAAGGGTTACAAACATTATTGGATTCAATTTGCTCCCAAAAACTATGAGTCCTGTGACAGAAACATCAGCACAACTTCCTTTGAGTCAGCTTTCTTTTGCTCAAGTCTAAAAACTGGTACGGGAGAATTGTCTGTATTCTGTCAATCATGTTTTAAATAAATGCTGATTGGCCAGGCAGGAGGTGTAGGTGGGAAAACCAGACAGGAAGTGGAAATGATGCAAGGAGAGCAGGAGGAATTCTAGGGAGGAGGAAGCTGATTCTCCCACTCCTGCCCAGATCACCGAAGCAGCAGGATGTGAGCTGCCCCACTGAAAAAGGTACTGAGCCACATGGCTAAAATAGATCAGAAAAATGGGTTAATCAAGATGTAAGAGTTAGCTAATAAGAAGCCTGACCTAACGGGTCAATCAGCATTATAACTTATAGAGATCTCTTGTGTGATTTTTCTCTGGGACTAAACAGCTGGGGGGCCGGGCAGGACAGAAACACAAACAAACAGGTCTGGCCCTTTCATGTTACAAAAAAAGCTGCTTGAGAAAATATTTTGCCTACAATACCTTTCTCACATTTCTAAGACTGCTGTGAGCATGATCATCCTTACTATGATCATGCTACACCTGAAGAAAACTATAGGTTTTGAAGCAGAAAGAGCTTTGTGTTTTGAGCAAGACAGGCAGCATTAAGGTTTCTCTTTCCTCTACTATAAACTGGTATGAATAGCTGTGTGTGAGGATTATATTGAATATAGATAATGTCCAGTATAGTGTCTGACAGAATAAACTACAATTATCGTTTGCATTATTGCTAATAGTAGGGTCTAGAATATTCCCTAAAGGTTCTTATATTAAAGGATTGGTTCCCAACTTATGCTACTGGAAGGTGGTAGAAACTCTAAGAGGAGCAGCCTAGTAAGAGGTTTTAGACCACTGGGGACATGCACTCAAAAAGGATTATGGAAAGTCAGTCCTTCATTGTTCTCTGGTTACCATGAGCTAAGCAGTTTTCCTGCCATGGTGTTCTGCCTTGTCACTGGCCCAAAGCAGCAGGGCCATCCAACCAGACTGAAACCTCCAAAAGAGCAAAATAAATTATTTCTTCTTTTATACCAATTATTCCAGATGTTTTGGATTTTTTTTTTTCAAGACAAGCTCTTACCACATAGCCCCAACTGTCCTAAGATCAAGCTGGTCTTTAACTCAGAGATCTGTCTGTCTCTGCCTCCTAAATGCTGGGATTAAAGGTTTGAGTCACTACACCCAGCTGTCCCAGATGTTTTGTTACCACAATGAAAAGTGGTAACCATCACCATCATTACAAACAACTATGTTTTTATCCTTTATTGTTCTTTTTCTTGAGAGTGAGAGATTCTAACTAGGCTTCTAAATAATTTTTGCTCCTATTTTTCTTTCACTGTGTACTCAAGGAAAGTTAAGATAAACATTTAGAAGTTTTCATTCCAAGAAGGGTCTAGTCATTCTGTAATGGTGATTACTCGCCAATCTTTCAATCCCTTTATTATTTGCCAGAGCAAATGTCTGTTCTTTCTCCAGAACATCGCCAGCTTTTCCTTCAACCTGCGAAGCATTCAAAACACAACAGGGCCACTAACGAGTACATACCATGATGTCCGCTTCTCTTGTGGCATATCGAAGATTGGGATCTAGCCAATACATTAGGGATTTAACTTGCTCGAAGTTCAGGAAAAGGAGAAATACCAAAAAGAGGAAGTACAGCACACTGAGGCCTGATGGAAACAAAACAAGGTCAAGTTTAGGAGAGACACACATAGACCCAGGGGCTTAGAGTTATAGTGCACATGAATATCACAAAAATATCACAAAAGTAGCCTTTTGAGAATCTATCATACCTAGGTATTTTCTTTGGTGAGAGGATCTGACACACAGTCCTAAATCATGTTGAGGGGGATTCCTCTCTCTGAGGAAATGCTACTTAAGTTAAGCCTTGAAGGACCAGCAGTCAGATGATGTATATGGTGGGCTTAGGGGAGTATGAAGTAGAGAAATACCATGAAAATATGTTCCTGAAGAGAGATATCTCACGGTGAGGCTGGAGTGATGGTAGAGATGAGAATGGACTAAGGGGTGCTGAAGTGACAAGATTAGGGGACAAGGCAAGGCTTTCTGATTTTCTCCCAAGGTCAATGATGAAGAAAAGATGAACAAAACAGTTTTATGATGGTGAATGAACAGACTACAAGTGGGTCACACTTTTCTATTCATCTGAGACTTCTTCAAATTAGCCCTGACAAGTATTATTCTCTTGTCACACCTATCATAATCGCTATTCTAAATAACCAAACCCCACATCATTTAAAAAATTAAAGCCAGTTGGGCAATGGTGGTGAATGCCTTTAATCCCAGCTCTTGGGAGGCACAGTCAGGAGGATTTCTGTAAATTTGAAGCCAGCCAGGTCTACAGAGTTCCGGGACAGTCAGAGCTACAAAGAGACAAAGAGAAACCCTGTTTTTTTTTTTTTTTAAAAAAAAAATCAACCAAACAACAAAAACAAAGCAAAAAACAAAAAAGAAAAACCACTAATACACTGGAAGGTCCCCCTGCATCCCCACCACCAGAGGGGGCTGTCATTTTTTTCTGGTGAGCCTGCTGGAATCAGATCAGTGATGTAGGGCATTCAGCTGCTCTCCATTCACCAAGGGGAACACTGCTTGCAGAGGTCCCTTGTAGAGCAGGGCCAACACAGCCACACATCCCTAGACCAAGGAATATAAATTTTCTGATACATGAGAACTACCTTGGGTTTGCATTTATGTAGCAGTCTTATAAATTTTCATCTTTAATGACCACCTTACTATAACCTTTTAAAATTACAATCTTTGTGAAACAATTCTTTTGAGACAGAAAGAAATGACCTATGACACAGAAATGTTTAGAGTTTTGAGCTGGGGTTTGAGGACTACAAAACTCTAGCTACTAACAGCAAAAATCGTGGGTTTTGTTCTGTTTTGTGTGTGTATGTATGTCTGTGTGTGTGTGTGTATGTGTGTGAGAGAGAGAGAGAGTGTGTGTGTGTGTGTGCGTGTGTTAAACACGCATGCTGGAGAAGGTTCAGGAATGCACACAGGTCTATAAGCTTGGGAAGCAAGCAATTGAGCTACCTCTGTAGCCCCGGGAATATCTTTTTCAAATAGTAAATAAAATCATGTCATCCTGGGAAAATGCTCCCTATATCCTTTGCACCACACTCCTTTGTCTGCCCACAACCCTGAATGTTTCTCTCTGTGCTGGTTGTCTGTTCTTTTGCTCACTGTTCTTCCCTGCCTACCTGGGCCTGTAAAATGCCAAGTACTTTCCAGCCATGAGGCCACCTCAGCAGCCTCTTCAGCTAAGGTCCTACTCCCCGACTGTGCCACATGCACAGCAGTCCCTTAGTTGCATCCAAATTTTAGACTGAGTCAGTCCCTCAGCCTTCCCTCATAACCCCAGTGGAAGCAGCCACTCAGTCACCATCACTTCACCCAGTTTTAGCTACCTAATGCTTAGTAAGGACTCATAATTTTTGACTACTGACTACTTTAATAGCTCCCTGTTCTCTTGTCTGGTGGAGGGGTTCCCAAGGAAAAGGTCATATTTGTCTTATCCTGGATAGCCTCAGGTCTTCAAACCTGTCAAACACTCAGTGAATAGAGCTAGTAAAACTTCCTCATTGTGTGTGATTGGGTGGGGAGTATGCCTTTAATACCAGTCTCAGGAGGCAGACTTGAGCAGATCTCTGTGAGTTTTGAGGACAGCCTGGTCTACAGAACGAGTTTCCACAGCCAAGGCTGTTACACAGAGAAACTGTTTCGAAAAAAACAAAAAAACAAAAAAACTTCACGAGCAAACTTAAAAAGATGAAGAGTTGCTGGATATGGTGGTACACCTTTAATCCCAGCACTCAGAGGACTCTCTACAGGTTCAAGGCCAGCTAAAGTAAAGTCCAGGACAGCCACAACTACACAAATCTGCTTCAAAACAACAAAACAAACAAATGAAGTGACCTTTACTGCTGAAGGATATAACAAGAAGGGCAACTTTAGTAAAATATCCCCTTACATTTCCAAGCATGGTTACATTGCTTTCACCTACAATAATTCATTGTGTGTCTTACTTAGGTATGATGAGGACAAACATTCTAAGAATTAAAAATTTATTTTACACTCATTCAGATCATTTGACTTTCTGGATGACAGAATCAAGTAAAAGTAAGACTCATTATTTATGTGCTTAATAATAAACTTCAACCAAATGAGGGCTATGTCTGCCAGAAGAGGTTTCTCTTTTCCAAATTCCTAGCACTGCTGGGTTTCCACAGACACTAACAAGAAAAATGTGACCTTAGCATGAACTTGAGCTTGTACTAGTAGGAAAGGAAAACAAGTCAGAAAATAGGGGCTTTTGCTGAAGCCACTAAGAAACAAAAGCACTACAAGCAGGCACATGGAACAGAAAGGGCACCTATGTATGAGAACTTATGCTATCACCAGCCATTTATTTGATCTTTTTGATCAAAGAATCTTAGTAACAGTTTTGTATTAGGTAGACTAAAAAGTTGGTTTTTTAGCTATGATATAAAACTATTATCATGATACAGAGAAAAAAGATTTTTGTTTTATTTTTGATTTTTGAGACAGAGTTTTTCTGTGTAGCTTTGGCTGTTCTGGAACTTGCCCTGTAGACCAAGCTGGCTTTGAAATCAGAGATCCACTTGCTTCTGTCTCCTAAGTACTGGAACTAAAGGCATATGCCACCATTGCCAGGCAAGGTTTTTTTTTAAGTAGAAAGAATTTTGTCATCTACTAATAGGACTCACCAAAAACCATTCTCCATAAGGCTGGATGAGGTCGAGTAAATGGGCCTGCAAAGAGAGGACATGAAGTTAGAATAAATTGGATTGCGGCAGAAAAGAAAGCTCTGTTGATCTACATACAACTATCTCTACTGCTAAATTTTATTTTCTCTTTTTTCTTTTCCCACACCTTTTGAAACAACCTTCTTAACCTTGGAAAGGTGCAGAACTCCCAAATGTCAAGAGGGAGATGTCAGGCAACCTGTTACAGCATAGGCTTGGTCTTCAGTAGCCCTGTGCTGTAACTGACTTCAGGAGCTAGTGACAAAACAAGGAAGGATCACAGCTATCTTCCGTGTTTCTACAACTCCAGTCAGCAGGGGCAGTAGTGGTCAGTGGCACCATCATCTGGGAACTGAGGGTCATGGCAATGATGGTTCCAGTAGGATTCAATGTAAAAATACCATAGTACAACCTGGTTTTGTTAGTTTGCTTAATATCCAATGCTCAAGACAATCATGTCAAGTAGGTTTTGTGAGCAGGTTTGGGGAACAAGATGAGAAAACAGGCTTAGAATGAGGAAGTAATCTGACTCCATCCAGTTTACCAATAGTATACTTAGACTCTGAAGCTTTGCAGCCATGTCTAGAGTCACTGAGATGCACAATTTTTCTGTATGCTGTGAATATGTATTTCTCTCATTGGTTATTAATAAAAACTGTTTGACCAGTAATCAGGCAGGATAATGTTAGGTGAACAATCAAACTGAGAACTCAGATGAGGAGGGGCAGAGTTGAGAGAGATGCCAGTCTGCTGCAGAACAAGCAGGACATGTAGAAAATGAGGTAACAAGCCATGAGCCTCATAGTAAAATGTAGATTAATAGAAATGGATTAATATAAAATGTAAGAGTTAGCTAGTAATAAGCCTGAGCTGAGGGGTTTGTGCTCTAACAAACAAAGCTTACCTGAAGATGAGAGGGTGGAGTTAGCCACTAGTTAACCCTAGAGGCCAGGCAGGGGCAGCACACACCTTTGATCCCAGCACTTGGGATCTCATGCCTTTGGTCCCAGGATTTGGGAGTCATACACCTTTAATCCCAGCACTAAGGAGGTAGAGACAGGAATATAAGGTGGGAGAAGACAGGAGCTCAGTCCCTTCGGTATGAGGATTAGGTAAAGGTAAGAACTCTCTAGTGACTTGCTCCTTTGTTTCTCTGATTTTACCCCAATATCTGGCTCTGGGTTTTTAGTATTAAGACTAATTAGAATTTGTGCTACACTGAGCTACTGGTAGAACATTAATAATTAATATTAATAATAAGTCTCTAAGTGATTATTTGGAAGCGGCTGAGGGATGGGGTGGGACAGAGAAACTCCTGTTTACACACAGTCATGAGAGGTCAAGGAAAGTCTGTATTATAGAATATATCCAGGGCTAACAAAAGCTAGAAGAGCCCTTGGAAGGTCCTCTTCTGAGAAGCCTCATAACTAACTGCAGATTCAAATGGACTTCATCTCACCCCAGTGATGGGTTAACATTAAACTTACTTGATGATCATTAGCTATGTTGGGATAGAGGTAGAATTTAAAAGCTTCAAGATTTTGTTGTTGTTTGTTTGTTAAAGGAAACAGAAGAATGAAGAGTAAAGGAGGAGATGGCAAGGGATGTGAAATAGACATCATATCTTCTCCTTCCCTGGTCTCCCAAGGGCTCTTTATATATACTCTACACCTCTTTATAGAACAATGCCTCCCCCTACAGGACTAGGAAGAAGTCTAGGAACAGAATCCTGCAATACCAACCCACTGACAGTCAAAGGGATTATGGTGAGGTCCACCCCTGTCCTGTTTAACTTGGGTATACTCTAAATCCACAGAGGTAATCTAGTCCCCTGAAACTTTTCAGTCAGTATACACCCATTGGGAATCTATATACATACTGGACTCTGGGTATTATAAATCCCTGTCCTCAGGACTTGGCAGGAGAAGAAGTATATGCCCCAATTCGAGCCTAAAAGACTTAAGAACTTAAGCATACTAAAAAGCTTCCAGAAAGAAAAAAAAAAAAAAAACGAACTTTCAGGAAACAATTTTTCAAGTTCAATGTCATGGCACAAGTCTACAGTTTAAAAGCACAGGAAGCTAAGACAAGAGAATTAGGCCAACCTGGGCTACATAACTAGACCATGTGTCAAAAATCAAAAGCAAGAGGCTAGGGATGTGGCCCAGTAGGTAACCATTTGTTAGGCAGGTGTGAGAACCTGAGTTCAAATGTATCAGGGTTCTAATGCTGAGATGGGAGGCAGAGAGAAGAACCTCCAGAAGTTCACAAGCCATATACCCTGACATATGTAATGCAAAAAACAAGAGACCAACACCCAACATTATCACTGACCTCCACACATGTCTTATGGCACACACGTGCCTGCACCCACCCACATTAACATGGGCACATACATGCATACCCATCATACACACAAAGATTTTTAAAAATCAAAAACAATCTGTTTCACTCCTAACAACATCAAAAAAACCATCTAAGCTCATTGCTGCTGGACAGTACTCACCCTTAAGACCCTTAAGACCATCTGGATGAAGAGGCCCAGGGTTAACTGTTCACAATGATAGAAGAGAAAGGGATGAAGAATATGGGCCTCAACAGTCGAGTGTTGCATTATTCAACCTCAAAGGCCTCTCTGAACTCAACATTATGTAAGAGAGTAAACGTTTTTCTTATTCTTTAAGCTATTCTGAGTAGGGTTTTCTAGTACTCAAGTTACTCAGACTCTGCAAAAAGAATCACAGAGCCCTGTCCATAAGAGTAGACCAAAACTACCACACTGGTGTCATATCTGAATTCACACATGCAAGATGAAACACATGGCCATGAACAAATATAGACTTACATACAAGCATTTGGAGCAGCCTTTAATAGGTCAAAGACAAATACCTACGAAGTTGCCAAAACAGAACCATTCTGGGTACGTCACCCACTTGAAAGCATGTCCCCAAATGTCTTTGAAGGAAAACATAAGTTTGGGACTCCCACTCTCACATTCATTTCTTACTTCATTTAGGAATATGTGACAAGGGTAGAGAGAACAGAGAATAACATAGCAACACTAGAGCAAGAGATGAGTAATGTAATATACACTCTAATTGAGAATTTACTCTTCTATGGTGTTTCCCGGGAAGGCCATCAGCCTGAAAGCCCTCTAAAGGGACCCCTTGAAGCTACTTCTAAAGCATTCTTCCACATGGAAAAATGAGTTTTACAACCTATGTAAAGTGTGAATAAGTGACCTTTGAAAAACAAATTATGTAAATATGTGCTATGCAAGCATGGCTTCAAGAGAATCCTACTGCCTGTCTTCCTGAAGCTATGGCTTGATATGGTTTGTACCCGGAAGCTCTGGAAATGCATGCTGAAATCTGACTGCTTACTTGGCTGACTGTTGCCATGGTGGTGCTAGGAGGAGGGAACTTCAAGAGGTATTTGGATGATTAACACAGCTCTTTAGTTAATTAGGTTAATGTTAATTCTCATGAATTTGACTAAATTCCTTGTCTCACAAGCCTGGGTTATTTATCTAAAATGTGGATTATGATAAAGACATCTATTTACAGCTCCTATTTTACCTCTTCATAGGGAGGCTCAGATCAGTCTTCTAGCTTTTTCCCATCACAGACCATCTCTGAGTAGCAGAACAACACATATGTAACTTTCACCTGTTTTCTGCAATAATCAAAGCATGCTATGCATATAGGTCAACTACACTATGGGAAAAGAAAAGCTGACGGCAAGGAAAAGAAAACAAAAGGGAAAGCATATTACACCATCAAGTGAAGGTCCCATATAGTGCACCTGATATGAGAGATGGCTGGAGCAAGGCTGAGCGCCAGAGGCCATTGTCATTTAATACAACAGATGACAATTAATATTCAAGGTGTCAACCCGCCAGAAACAAACTCTCTGATAGAGGAATCTCACTTAAGTAAGGCTATACGACTACAGACTGGGGAATAGCTCTTGCTTCTGACTGTAACTTCACATGCACTATTGCATTTTTTCCCTAGCGGCTCTGGGGAATCCCCCACTGTCTTTATCTAGTATGTGTATATCTTGTGAATACATCCTGACCTACTGGGCATTTCTATCTGTAGATTGTCAAGAATGTGACTCCTCTTTAGTTGTATTGTCTAATTAATATTAATAATGTTAGTTTATACAGAGTTTTGATGAATAAAAATGTATACAAAGAAATGCTACTCAAATCAGGTTTTATAAGTTCCCCCTAAGAGCTGTCTTGGATACAGTTTAGTCTGAAATTAAGAAAACAGCTATATTTCCCCAGCTGCCAAGAAAGCTGATATAAAACTTCAAAATAGCTTTAGATTAGACCAACTGCCTTGCTAATGGGTTTTAAGATAAACTATTCACAGAGAAATACAATCTTATTTACAAGGACATAGAGCCAGCTGTCTGGTTTGTTGAGCCAAGGTAAAAAGTGCAGAGCAAACTGTTGTGCCAGTCTCCTTGCTGGCGAGGTTTGACTGATGACCTAGGACAATGGTTAACTCTGTACAAATTCCTAACTTCAGTTTTGTGGTTTTTGTTTGGATATACCTCAAGGAAAGATTCCCTAACTGGCCAGGGCAACAAAAAATAAACTAACTTCATAGCCTTGAGAAAGAGCTACCAAGTTTCCCTTTTTATGGTCGAGGGTTACATGCAGGTCAGGAAAATATATTTTAAGATTTAAAACGCTTTTAATGTCACTGTGCCTTGGAGAGTGCCAAGTGAGCTCAGCCCTGCCCTCTGCCCTGCAGCTCCTGCTGCTAGGGGCCAAGCTCATCATTGCACTCTCCCTGACACATCTCTTTCCCCAACATTTCTATGATTGTTAGGCACAAAATATTAGTTTGAAATGTTTATACACTTAGAAGTATATGATATAGCACACGATTTTCTTATTTCTCTTAGACTCCTTAATAGTTTAGTTTTATAAAGCCACCTCTATAGATAAGATAACAAAAAGACATCTCTTCTTGCAGCTGCTCACCAATTAGGAAGTTGAGTCAGACAGGTTGTCTTGATTCATTGCATGTGAGTCCGTTGAGATGACTCTGTTTTTTATCATATGGTTGGATATGGAATGTGATCTCCAAATGTATCTCCTATAGTGCTTGAAAGATTGTGTGGCTATTAAAGCTGTGAAGAACAGAGAAACTTTGGAACATCACGGGAAAACATCACGAGAAGAAGTTAGAATGGGCTAGAAGGAAAACATCAGGTATGAGAGAACTAGAAGGGAAACATCAAGAGTAAAGATAGAGCTAAAATGAGACACAGAATAGAGAAAGCAGAGAATGTACCAGAGGAACACCTTGAAGAACGCAATAGGAGAGAATAAAGAAGGAACCTATCAAAATAGGTGTAACTATGTCATTTTCCTAAAAACCCCTCAGATAGAAAAAAAGTCTTAGCTTCATGACACTGTGAACTTTTCCTTTGAGCTCTGCCTACAGTCCTGAAGCTGGTTTTTCCTGGGCTGTAACAGCCGAAGAAAGAAGATGGATGCAGACCAAAGCCTGAAAGCCAGGTAAACAGGGGCAGGCAGAATGATGTCACTAGTAGTCACAGATTTCAGCTTTCTCATCTATAAACTGAGCAGGCTGAAGTAAATGAGCTCTAGACTGGAGTTCCTCTCTTCACCTGGACTAGAGTCTGCACTATTTGGCTAAGAATAAGGTAATAGATAGGAACCAATAGTACAGGTTTACTTTCCCAAATCAAAACAAAAGTACAGTCCCATGCTGAGAGAGAGCACGATTGGAGGGCTTCACTGGAGATTGAGGAAAACCCAGAAGTCACACCAAATAGATTTAACCCCTTGACCTCTGTGCCATTGGCATCTGTGAAAGAAACTGCAGTGCCCAGTTACTGAAGAAGCACTAGGAAAGATATACTTTCAGATCAGGGTGACTGAGACTCACCTCAAATTCTCAAAAAGCTCTGTACTCAAAATAAACAGAAAACAAATAAATATACCTTCAAGTCATGAAAAAGTGACCACTGGTGATGTGGGATTACCATTAATGAATAAAGAAACTGTTTTGAACCTATTGTGGGGCAAAACTTCGTTAGGTGGGGAAAACTAAACTGAATGCTGGGAGAAAGAGAGAGGAGTCAGAGAGAAGCCATAAAGCCACAGAAGACAGACTCTGGGAACTTTACCTGATAAGCCACAGCCACGTAGCAATATACAGATTAATAAAAATGGGTTAAATTAATATAAGAGTTAGCCAATAGGAAGCTAAAACTAAAGGGCCAAACACTGATTTAATTAATACAGTTTCTGTGTGATTATTTCAGATCTACGCTAACCTGGCAGCTGGGAACCAACAAGTGGCCCTTTTCCAACACACTAAAAAACTAAGCTGTATTTTTATAACCACCTTTGGATGAAAACATTAGTCTCAAAGTACAGGGGAGACATCACAGCTGGCTGCTTCAGCAACATTCCCATATGACACCACTGGAGGAAACAAAGGGCTGTATAATGACCAAGGGCTCCTTCTAAGCTTAAAATCTGAAGACCTTGAATGATGTTTATATGGAGGAAAAGGAAAGCTGGTAGAGCCAGAAAGATATTTGACAGTGGGAGTTGTTATTAGCAAATTTTACAGCAATGTCAATAATGTACATCTTTTCTTCCTATCTTAGTAATTGTGAATAATTAGAACCATCAATCATCAAGGAAAAGAAAATTTATTATATCTCTATAATTTTTGTAGATTTTTAAATACTGCAAGATTTCCACTAAAGGTAAATTTAATTTAAAAACTAAGGTTGGTGCTTGAGAGATGGTTCAGCATATAATTATTAACTATAATTAAGTTATCCCCACAGTATGAGGACCAGAGTTCTAATTCCCAGCACCCATAACACTGCCTGGCAGGCACGATGGTCCACGTGCAATCCCATCAGTGGTAGAGTAAGGGCATCTGTGGAGGAACTGGTGAGCTCTGGGTTCAACTGAGAGACCTGCCTCAATACATAAGATGAAAAGTGATCCTGGAAAACACTTGGTGTTGACCTCTGGCCTCCACTCCACACACATATACTTGCGAATGCATACACACAAGCACACAAATGAAAATAAATACAGGTTAAAATGCTAGGAAAGTTAAACTCAGCTTCCAAATAACAGGGCCACTTAAAATTCCTTCTTGAAGAAACTCAGAGTTGTGGGTCTACTGTCTTGACTTCTATGCTACCAGCAAAAATTACTATATTTTTATAAACACAATGCAACACAGGAGAAGCAAAACAACAAAACAAAATTGAACTGCCACCAATTTGGAAAATCTGAAGGCCTTTGCCATAGATCATGTCCAACAGCATTCAGTAACATTCAGAATGAGATTCCTATGCCATACATAGCAATCTACTGAAGCATGGGAGCCTACATGATGAATACATCTTAAAGGATGTCATTTAAAATTTGTGAAGATTCCTAGAACATAAGGAGGGCTGCAAAAGATCTGAGGTGTGAGAAAAATAAAATATACTGAACATTTAGAAATGGGTACAGAGAACAAGCACTGAATATTCTAGAAAGGAGATATAAAAGGGATTAAAAATATAGTAATTAAAAATAAGGAACACTTCAGAGGAAAGGTATGAATTAACTAGAAGCATGCAAGAAAGGTTTTTCTTCTTCCTTTCTTTAATCCTGACAGAGCAGGTTCATAATCATCAAATTTCTACTAGATACAAATATACAATCAGCAAAGACAATTGTGATAGCAGATAGCAAATTGTTTTAAGTAATAAATACTCATTGGAGCTAGTTCTGTCTTTAGCAAAAAAAAAAAATAACAGTAACTTAGTACTGTACAGCTGTTAATAATAAAAACATCCAGGGAAAGAACAGCTGAGCAGGGCGTGACAGTATATGCCTGTAATCACTTGTGTGATCCCAGCACTCAGGAAGTCAAGGCAGGAAGATCAAGCAGTCAAGTATAGCCAATTCCAGACAGCCATGGAATATATACGTAGAGCTTGTTGTCCCCTCCCCCTACACCCCCAAAAAATTATTAACAAAAAACAAAAAGAACAGTTACAGAGAGCTTAGCATTTGTCATTGTTTGCATGTGGTTTGACTCCTAAGGGTTCATATGTCAGGAACTTGATCCCAGTGTTGGGAATATTAAAAGGTAGTAGAAACTGTCAGAGGCAGGATCTAGTGGGAGGTCACTGAGTGCTGTCCTTAAAATGAATAATGCAGTTCTCTCAGGACCCTGGTTTTCATCAATGGGTTATTATAAAATATCAAATTCAGTCTTCCCAGGTGAGGCTCCCCACCCCATCCACCTCCTGTGCATAATTCCTTCATGAGACAATGTACCATGATGAAAAGATAAGCCTCACCAAAAGTCAGTAACAAATAGAATGGACTTTCAGGTTCCAAACTGACTTTCAAAACCTTCATTCTTTATGAGGATTATTGCCCTATGTGTTTTGTTATAGCAATAAAAGAACAAGCCAAAACATGGGTTTAACATTATTAATTTAGTTAGCCCTCACATAGTAGAAAAACCAACACATTTAAGGACGGGAAGCAGGACACAGAGCTGAGAGGAGGAGTCTGTGCCCACCTACTACACAAAACCCATCTTGTAACCTTCATCTCAAAGAGTCAGAAGGATGTGATGCACAGGAGAACTACAACAGCTCAGGATATCACTCACCATTGGGGAACGCTAACACGCTGATGATGAGAAAAAAGAAAATCACTGAGAGGATGCCTCTCCAGATGTTGTCTTCTGGAACAGAGTCATCCCTGAAAATAGAAAACATTGAGAATTCATTCTCAGATCTAAACAGGAAACCAAAACGCAGGATGTTTTCCACAATCTAACACCCAAAGACTGCAGATTTTCTTTTGCTGAGCAAAGTCACCACACACAATTTACTGCTCAGTATCACTTCCTAAAACCAACACTCTCATAATAAAGCTCAGCTCTTACAGGAAAGGCAGCCTGGAGCTGAAGGTACAGCTCAGTAGGTTAGCACACACAAAGCTCATCTCCAACACCAAAATTGTATAAAATAATAAATAAATAAAACGGATCATCTTAAACACTACCATAAACTCTACTCAAATATGCATTTGAGACCCACTGTTCTTAAACACAAAAACAAAACCCCAGCTTATCAAAACACAAGATTCATTTCTGAGAAATATCTTTTGATGATAAAACAACAAAAGATGCACTTGGTTGATACAGGAAGTGGTAAGAAAATTTTCAAAAAGTCAGAATGAAACAATAAATCACCAGGAAGGCAGCAATGTAACAAGATTATATCAGCCACTCTTGAAAATGGAAAGCTGGGGACCTATAAGATGCAGGAGAAAGCATGGAAACAGGTAACAAGAAAGCAATCAGGAAAAAGAAAATCAACAGGGAAAAAAAATTATAAGATATAAAATCAGAGAAGAAACAGAATGATAACTTTCCTCTCATGCTTGGCTTGTCTACTGCCCTACCACTCCAGTAAACTGGACTGGGCCTTCTGTTGGTCAATGTGTCTACCTCGCCTGAGCCTGTTTCTGAAATAGGGACTTATTCCCTTCTGTTCTTGGGGCCTGACACACATGCTACACACTGAACAGATATTGTGGACTGACAGTTTATAAGGAAGAGCTATTATGCAAATACTATGCTGGACACTTTATGTGGAAAGAGCACGACAGGCTGATAGACACTGACTGATAACATACGTGGGGCTCAAGAAAAGCAAATGCAAAGAGGGAAATAGAAACGTAAGTCAAGAAGGTGGTTTCCTGAATTATTGATAATTTCTGAGAAGCTTGGGAGAAGAAATTTCAGCATTGCAGTTTTTAAAACACAGAATGAGTAGGCAGAAAGTATAATATGAAACAGAATGGAAGGAAATATTTTAAGACAAGGAGTCAAATAGGAAGCATTTTGCAGTGGTGTTGTAGGTCTTTAATCCCAATACAGGAGAGGCAGAGGTAGAGGATCTCTTAGTTGATGCCATCCTGGTCTACAGAGTGAGTTCTAGGATAGCCAGGGCTACACAAAGAAACCCTAACTTGAAAAAAACAAAGAAGAAAGAAAGGAAGGGAAGGAGGAAGGGAGGGGAAAGATGAAAAGAAAAGAGAATAGAAGAGAAGAGGAGAAAAGAAGAGGCTGAATTTATATAGTAAGAAGTATTACTAGCCAGGCTCCCAGTACTCTGGAGGCAGAGGCAAGTGGATCTCTATGAGTTCGAGGCCAGCCTGGTCTACAAGAGCTAGTTCTAGTACAGGCTTGAAAGCTACAGAGAAACCCTGTCTCAAAAAAAAAAAAAAATACTGAAGGAAAAATAAGAAATAAAAAAAAATCTTAGAAGGACTAGCAAGATGGCCCAGTAGGTAAAGGCTCTTGGTGTGCCAACCTTTGATACCAAGAACCCATACAAAGATGGAAGGAGGGAACAAAATTGACCTGTAGTTTTCACATAAACACTGTGGCACACAAGCCCAGCTGTGAACAAGATTTTCATTAAGTTCCCCAAGGCACAGGTCCCATCTGATTCTGTTAAGGGTCCTTCAGTGCTCACAGCAGGTTTATAGCAAGCACCTGCAATATAGTGGGAGTGGGGGCACGAGTGGTGGCAAGAATGCTCCAGATGATATGACAGAGTGCGTGGGATTTGGATAACATGAAGAGGATCCCAGCCTAACATGAGGAGTCTACTGACAGACTTTCCCGCCCCCTGCAAAAGGTCACCTGCAGGGGCCTGCTGAGATCACATTAGATATTAACAGCCTAGTCAGGCTTCCAAACACCACTCGGTGAACATGGATCCAGTAATAAAGAAACCACCCAGGGAGAGAGGACAACCGGAGTAAGGAAAGGAGAAATCAGGAGAGCTTTGGGACTCAGATTCTGTGTCAGTTTCATTTCTGACATCTATGGGCAACTGGGTTATAGTCTTCAAGAGATTAGGCAACACCACTTATTCATGATCTTTAGACAGGGCTATTCTCTATGGAACCAGAAAGATGACAAGATCTACTCTTCACCATGACACAAAGGTCTCTAGGCTATGTGTCCCTACTCTCCTCTTGTTTCCTTTAATTTGAGTTCTTGAATTAGATAAATTATGTCACAACCAAGGATTATCTCTCCCAGTGAAAAATGTAATCCTAAATTACAAGGTAGACCTATGTCATCTTGATGTCATAGTTTTAACAATGCACTCATTCAATCTTAAAGGAATTTAGGAGTTTGGTCAAAAATTATTTGCTTAAAGATCCATTCACTAAAGAACTTCTTTCAAGTTTGCATAGGACATCCTTCATCCTTTCAATGATGGAAGATGTTGGGCCTTCCAAAGATGAACGATATTGGGCCTCAACAATTTGACAGGAAACACAACTATTGCAATGAGAAAAGCTATAATAAGAGAACTATATTCACAAGTCATCCTTTGTGCTTCTTAAAACATCAAGAAAGGTGCTTATGCTAAAATCAGGAACACGACAAGGCTGTCCACTCTCACCATTCCTCTTCAATATAGTGCTTGAAGTTCTAGCAATAGCAATAAGACAACATAAGGGGATCAAGGGAATTCGAATTGGAAAAGATGAAGTTAAACTTTCGTTATTTGCAGACGATATGATAGTGTACATCAGCGACCCCAAAAACTCTACCAAAGAACTCCTACAGTTGATAAACACCTTTAGTAATGTGGCAGGATACAAGATCAACTCCAAAAAATCGGTAGCCCTCCTATACGCAAAGGATAAAGAAGCAGAGAGGGAAATCAGAGAAACATCACCTTTCATGATAGCCACAAATAGCATAAAATATCTTGGGGTAACTCTAACCAAGGAAGTGAAAGACCTATTTGACAAGAACTTTAAGTCTTTGAAGAAAGAAATTGGAGGATACCAGAAAATGGAAAGACCTTCCCTGCTCTTGGATTGGGAGAATCAACATAGTAAAAATGGCAATTCTACCAAAAGCAATCTATAGATTCAATGCAATTCCCATCAAAATCCCATCAAACTTCTTCACAGACCTTGAGAGAACAATAATCAAGTTTTTATGGCAAAACAAAAAACCCAGGATAGCCAAAACAATCTTATACAATAAAGGAACCTCTGGAGGCATTACCATCCCTGACTTCAAACTCTATTACAGAGCAACAGTATTGAAAACAGCTTGGTATTGGCATAACAACAGAGAAGTCGACCTATGGAATCGAATAGAAGACCCGGGTATTAACCCACAAACTTATGAACACCTGATTTTTGACAAGGGAGCTAAAGGTATACAATGGAAGAAAGATAGCATCTTTAACAAATGGTGCTGGCATAACTGGATGTCAACCTGTAGAAGAATGAAAATAGATCCATATCTATCACCATGCACAAAACTCAGGTCCAAATGGATAAAAGACATCAACATTAATCCGACCACTTTGAACCTGATAGAAGAGAAAGTGGGAAGTAGTCTACAAGATATAGGCACAGGAGACCACTTCCTAAGCAGAACCCCAGGAGCGCAGACAATAAGAGAAACAATAAATAAATGGGACCTACTGAAACTGAGAAGCTTCTGTAAAGCAAAGGACACTGTCAGTAAGACAAAAAGGCTACCTTCTGACTGGGAAAAGATCTTCACAAACCCTTCAACAGATAAAGGTCTGATCTCCAAAATATACAAAGAACTCAAGAAACTAGACACTAAAACTCTAATTAACCCAATTAAAAAATGGGGTACTGAACTGAACAGAGAATTCACAACAGATGAACTTCGAATGGCTAAAAAGCACTTAAGGTCATGCTCAACCTCCTTAGCGATCAGGGAAATGCAAATCAAAACAACTTTGAGATATCATCTTACACCTGTCAGAATAGCCAAACTCAAAAACACCAATGATAGCCTATGCTGGAGAGGATGTGGAATGAGGGGAACACTCATCCATTGTTGGTGGGAATGCAAACTTGTGCAGCCACTGTGGAAATCAGTGTGGCGGTTTCTCAGGAAACTGGGAGTCAACCTCCCTCAGGACCCAGCAATTCCACTCTTGGGAATATACCCTAGAGATTCCCTAACATACTACAAAAGCATTTGTTCTACTATGTTCATAGCAGCACTATTTGTAATAGCCAGAACCTGGAAACAGCCTAGGTGCCCCTCAATAGAAGAATGGTTAAAAAAGGTGTGGAACATATACACATTAGAGTTTTACTCAGCGGTAAAAAACAATGACATCTTGAATTTTGCATGCAAATGGATGGAAATAGAAAACGCTTTACTGAGTGAGGTAAGCCAGACCCAAAAAGAGGAACATGGTATGTATTCACTCATAAGTGGATTCTAACCATAATTAAAGGTCTTTGAGCCTATTATTCGTGATCCTAGAGAAGCTAAATAAGAAGATGAACCTGATGAAGATCATTTAGCTATCCGCCAGGAGGTAGGAAATAGGCAATAGTCCCAGGTAACCTCGGGTGCATGGAGGGGTGGGAGGGTTGTCGGAAAGGGAGAGGGTTAGAGAGAAGGGAGTAGGGGAGGATTGGGGAAAGATCGGGGGACTGGGATGGGGGGGAGGGAGGAAGGATGGATATGAGATCAGGCAAGTATATACCTCAACTAAGGGAATCATTTTAGGGTTTACAAGAGACTTGATTATAAAGGGGATCCCCGGTCCAAGGAGAGATCCCCAGATGGTTCTCTGGACAGAGGAGAGGGTGCCTGAACCGGCCTTGGCCCACAACCATACTGATGAATATTTTGCATGTCACCATAGAACCCTCAT